GTCACACTAATTGCGAATTATGCGTTGATAATGTGTCGATGATAGGAAATATTTTTCCTTTAAGAGAAAAGAAAAATACTGGGCCACCTTTTTTGCCGATGCCTTCTGAAAGAAATCTTCTCTCCTCTTAACACTATTTGATTTATTTATTCGACTCAACGTATAGGTTGCTTTCACAATCTTTGCGCTTCTCTTTTGGAACAGACTATAGTGTGGATTATGACAGATCAAGAATTTAGATTTTTTAGATAAAAACCAAAAGAGCTATATGTACATGCACAGTCTGACAGACTCCTACCCTAATTTAAACACCTCAGCCTATGTATTTTGTAAGCGCCGTGCTTATAATGGAACACCCTGTAATTTTATTTGGAATGACTATCAACACTATCTAATTTGGAATTATATTTAATGATGAAACTAACCATCATTGACATTTTCCTCTGTCAGTGTCTTTTGTCGATTCAGATCTCTCAAATCGAGCATCATTTGCAATAAATTTTTGGAATGAGCTGATCCCGATTTGCGCATTTCATCATTCTTCGTAATCATGTCATCGACCGACTGAGCATCCTTCGAAGTTGGCAGATGCGTTATGACCCAGTAATGGAAATCTGGTAAAATATTTCTGAGGAAATGCAACCATACACTAGCCATAGAAGGCTTCAATATACTTTGACAGAATCTCAGTACTTGTGATTCCGGCTTGGTTAGAGCGTCGGAGTTTAATCCAAAAAAACAGCTGGTTATCATATCCACTGTATACCTTGCGAAGATGTTTTTGACTTTTACCGCTTCATATTTACAATTTTCGCTGAGAAAACAAAATCAGAGTAAGGATATCAATAGTATAATCTGCTATCAGACACATGAGAGAGAATTCTCCTCTTCAAAAAATATATGAAAAGCATTAGTTTAAGTCAAATTATTCAATTTTACCCATCGATGTTATGGTTACCGTATGATACTTTCATACTATGGTTTCCCTATAATAAGTAATAACCATGATGTGTCCTCATTTTTTTGTTCTCCGGTCTTACAAATTTTGAAGTCAGATAAAGGGCTGCGGAAAAGCCAGAAGTCGAAAGATGGAAGTTTTGTCCTCTTTGGGGCAAAAATGGGAAGTCGGAAGTGGAATCCGGATAGAAGTCGAACGATTTACAACTTCCAGTCAACTTCCCGCATTTTTTCAGCATATTCTTGGCCTGTGGTCACGTGACACAATCCAACACCTCTTCAACTACAGGCCTCGTGACTGAAGTACAAAAGAGAGTTGGCAACCGCGCTCAGAGGTACCTCCGAAGGCACCTAATCTTTGAAGCTGAACCTATGCGCGGTTATGCACAATAGATAAGATGCCTCCGAGCGGGGTTGTTGGATTTAAGTAACAAGGCCTGTAGTTGAGGTGGTGTTGCACAATCACAATCAGAGCCGCGGAGGACTCGTAAAATGGAAGCCGGAAGTTTTGTCCTTTTTGGGGCAAAAATGGGAAGTCAGAAGTTGAATAGAAACTGGGAAGTTGGATATTGGAAGTTGGAAATCGATTAAAAAATGGAAGTTGGAATTCCAAAGAGTAAGTTAATTTGTTGGCTTCCGCAGCCCTGGTTATACGTATATGTTATGGTTAATTTGTGAAATTGGTAATTCTATGAAATAACCGGTGATTCTATAAAATCACCAATAAAGTATTTTAAATTAGGTGAATGTATGAAATTTCATACAATAACCGGTGATTATGTATAAATCACCTAGGGTACTTGGTGAATGTATGATAGAAAGACTGAAAAAGGCATTTTACAAATACAAAGTAGGTAATGTAAAAGTACTTACAGTTAATTAAGGTAAACTAACAGTTTTGGATCAGGTTTTGCAAAAATGAGGATGGAGTAAACCCTAATGGTTTTGATAAATTGATTTTCATGTCAAAATTGAAGGGTGAACCTTCGACTACAAATTGTACTAGTAGGATCGAGTTTGGCTTTACCAGTCTTGAAATGTGAGGTTTTGAAAAGAGGTCCAAAAAATCCAAATTTATAAGATCCTCCAAATGTGGGTCAGAGAATCTGACACAGGTTACAAAAGGCAATAGAAACTTTTGAAAACACTCAAAATGTGCTCCTGACGTCAAAATACGAGTATATGTAGACCCATTAGCCCAAAAAAGAATTACAATTTGATTATTCATTTTTATTTTTTGTAGTCTTTCAAATACTGAAAATTTCAATTTTTACAAAAATGTGTTTTGAACTTTGAAAAATCATAGCAGGATCTGAAAAAATTGCAGAAATTTCATTCACAGATCAGAATATATCCAGAATACACTCAACTTTCAATTCCCACCTCTAATAATTTTCTTTTAACTTGATTTTTTCCAGTTTAAAGTTTGTTGACCCACAACTGATGTAAGATCCATAACTGGTAGTTCACATGATTACACTGTTTCAAACTGAACTGTTGAACACAGATATCACCCTTATTACATACAATTCCCAAGATAGGTAGGGGATTTTATAGAATTACCGGTTAATGTGTAAAATTTCACTCGATTTCATACATCCCCAAAACACTAGGTGATTCTATACAATGACCGGTGATTTTATAGAATCGCCGGATTATGTACTTTAACCGTAACATATACACCGAGAATAGGAATGCCAAAGGAAAATTTATGTACATTGGTAGTGACAAATATCGATTAATTTGTTAGTCTATTGATAACTATTGACAAATTTTCAGGAGTTAATCAATAATTATTGATAAATAAGAGTTTTCAGATAAGATAAGACATTCACATACAAAAAAATTATAAAGAATTATCCAGCGTACATGAGGCTACTGAAAACGAAACATGAGCCAGTAAATTTTTTCCTTTCTTGTTGGACATTTTTGAAAAATTTGATAAAAAACCAATGGTGGAATGTAAGAACCAAACTTGAGTGATAAGTGTGACTTAAGTGGTGTTTGACGAGTACTTAGATAGGGATAAGTATGACTTAAACTTAAGTATTGGTCTTGCATGCCACCCTAAGTCTTTTTTACATACCCATTTATTCTTTCAGTTTTAACTTGACCTTACCCCACACAATATTGTATACGATTGGGAAATGGAGGCTCCGGTAGGAGCGCTACAATGCTGGCAATTTTTCCTAGAATCAGCACAACCATTCTATAATACTGACAATCGTTTTTGTGTTTTCCACCAGAGGGCGAACTTTGAGCCCCATTTCCCAATTGAAAGAAAGCTGAAAATTTAGGTTTGAAAATACATAAGCTCATACACAAAGCACCACCAAATAGGAAGCAAACTTATGTGTATTACTTTAATTCGTGATATTATGAGAACACAAAAATATCAATAGAGTTACTGCTATCAACTCTCAGAAATCTCAATTTTCAATCAAGTTATGAAAAATAGTGTGCCAAATTACCCAGTTTTGTAGTACCTATTTCTGTTGTTCCAGTCATAAATCATAATAAATAGACTCGATTATCCATCATTTGAGACCCAATTCAATCTTGTAGGTACCATTGTGAGTTTGAAATAAGTTAATCCATCCCTAAGAATTATGTGGGACAGAGAATATCATACCTCAAGACAGAATCCAAAATATCAGCGCTTTTATTCATCAGAACAAGCATCCCTTTCAATTTGTTAGCCGAGAAATTTGTCGTCAGTTTACCGCGTACATATTTCCAATCTTTGGAGTGCACGAATGCCAAATTCTTTGCAACAGAATTTTCTCTCTTCATCAACAGGTGTTCACTAAAATAACTGAAATCTTTGACAAAGACTGACTCGATCAACTTGGGATCCCTGATGAGTAAAAGTGGCTTGAGGAATTCATAGAAGCCAACGTATCGCTCTTCGGGAAATGCATTGTAAATATCTTCATAAAAACGATAAACTGGTGTAACACAGAATATGGCTGTGCCAGAATCACCAAAAAACAAACTGGGAGAAGTACTCGGCACGCCTTGATTTTTCCAAAATTGGTTACATTTTTTCAAGTAAATGAAAAATAGGAAACCGAAAAATGAGAAGGCAATATAGAAAAACATTCTGACTGAGATGAATTCGCACAAACGACTGAAGAAAAACACAAATAGACCAAATCGTGTACAAGTCGTACGTAGATGGAAAAATTTAATGTAGGTATTCGGTGAAAGCGTAGGACACATAAAGATAATTTGCAGTGGCAGATCAAGAGTGGGAAGTTATCAGCGACGTTCGTAGGGCTTATCTATACTAGCGAAACTACCCACATGAAATTATCGGATTTTAAATTACGAGCAATCATAATATTGAGTTTCTTTCATTCTGAGTGTGAAATTGGAAAGAAAAATAGGTATTTCTCTCATACCTGCAAGAATATCAACAATTTTCCTATGAAAAGCTCAGAATGTTCCAAGTGCCTTTGTTTTGTCTGGTAGTTTGATGATTTCTCAATTTTATTACGTGGAAATGGATTTGAAAATAGCAATTTCTCGGTTCCCACCCATTCTCTCTAATCCGTTTTCCCTAAGTATGTATAATATTCCCTAATGGATATTTTCCCTAATTTTTTTCTCCCTAACCTTTTTTCCCTAATGCAAAAATGTCGAATGTATTCTTTCCATAACAAAATCCTTTTCTGAAGGAAGGTTTTTTCTGAAGTTTAACATGATTGAGTTCTGCAAGGGGAACTTTGGCCAATTCACGAGGCAGTAATTGAGCAGGTGGATGCTTTGAATGCTCTGACATCATATGTTTTAGCTGGCTCACCACTACCTCTATAACACACTCTTTTTGGTTATGAGGGTGTTCCTCTTGGTGAGGAGGGTGTTCATGGCATAATTGTGTTGACCTCTGTCAACAATAAATGAAGGTATGAGTAACGATTTACTTAGAGCTTACCATCTTTAAAATCAAAACCTGCTGACCCAAGAAATGTTAATTTTACAGAAACCGCAAAATAGCTAGAAAGGTAATTTATGAAAGTTGGCTGCACTTCTACAGGCTGACCGAATATCGAGATCCTAGGTTAACTTTTAAATACCCAACTTGGCGATTGAAATCACGTTAGTAAGTTTTGACGCAAAACTGACGCGTTAGTAGGTTTTGACTCCAAATAGGAATTGCAATAGTAGGTTTTGACTCCAAATGGAAATCGCAATAGTAGGTTTTGAAACAAAAT